GGTCGTCGCTCGGCCCCCGCCCCGCCCCCACCCCCACCCCTGCCAAGCTCTCCCGCTGGGGATTGCTGATACAGAAAGCATAACCTTTGCTATGGTTTACTGAGTGTCCTCTCTGGACCTGGCTTAGGTCTAAGTGCTGAATATGTTTTTACCTGTTTTGGTCCTGACAGCAAGCCTGTGGGATTGGTACAGTGACTTTTCTATTTTACAGATAAGGGAACCGAAACCCAGGGAGGTGAAGTACTGTGCTGTAGTTTACACAGTTAGTAAGAAGGGGGTGGGGCGCAGGAGGGCTGGGGTACATCCAAAATGGCCTTTGTCCTCAAAGCATGGATGGTTTGGTGGTGGAGACAACAGCACTGAATACAAAATGCTGATGATGACGGGGTACAGACACACCGTGTAACAACGCAGGAGTCAGGACTGGCTACCCTCAGCAGCCAGGTGTGTTGTCACACACCTGTGATCCTGGGAAAGATTGCGAGAAGCTGAGGCAAGAGGATTGCAAGCTCAAGCCTAGCCTGGGCAATTTAACAAGACCCTGTTTCAAAATAAAAAATGGGATAAGGATGTGCCTCAGTGTGAAGGATCTGGGTTCAATCCTCAGTAGTAAAGGAAAAAAAAAGATAATCTGGAAGTGACAAAAAAGAAGGACCAGAAGCCTGAGTCCAGCAGAGTCGGACTGTTTGGTGTCTCCATGAGGAGGAAGACGGCTGGGTGCTGGAGGAAAGTCCAGGGAGGAACCATTTCCTGAAAGTGAAAGATGAAGAGGGGGTGTTTGGGCCTCGGAGGGGGCAGCAGGCATCTGGAGATGAGTCTGGAGGAAGGGAAAGCAACTTTGTGTGGGCGTGGTGTCAGACCTGGGGCTTGGAGGGCACATGTTGAAGGATGTGGGTTGTTATCAAGGAGCCTGGATGGTTCTTGGCAGTTTCTGGCAAGACTGAAATTTTAGAGAGATCCCAGAGAGGATGGATGGCTCTGGGGGAACAAGGCTGGCTTGGAAGGCCAAGAGAGTCAGGGCCCAGTAGGAGATGGAAGAGGGACCAGTGGGTAGAACCGGAGGGTCAGTGCCCACCCCTCCTCTAATTTTAGGCTTGGGCGGTGGGTGGGAGGAGGTGCTGTTTAGTTTCTTTCCTTATCTTTTTGGTGCTGGGGATCAAACTGAGGGTCTCACATGCTAAGCTGGCTCTCTACCTCTGAGCTACACCCTCAGCCCTTCCTCCCCTCCCTTCCTCCTTCCTTTCTGCCTCCCTCCCTTTTCTCCTTCCTTCTTTCCTTCTCTCCTTTTTCTTTCTGGGTCTTCATGGGTACCTGCATGCAGATGGTTAAAAGGAAGTTTGTGGAACTGGGGGTTTAACCCAGTGGTAGAGCTCTTGGCCAGCATGTGGGAGACCGTGGGTTTGGTCCTTAGTACTGCAAAGAAAGAAATCTGAACAGTAAATGCTGTGTGTATAATGGTTAAGCACAAGACCAGAGGCTCGGGCCGGGAGAATCTGAGCTGTGTGACAGCACCCTCAGTCCACAGTGGAGGGCCCATGACCGCCCTGACCTCAAGGGGAACTGGGAAGACTAAGGAGCCAGTGCCCACGGAGGGCTCTGAACTGTGCCTGAGACACCCCCGGCCCCAGCAGCCTTGGCTCATGCTCAGCTTTGGCCTCAAACTTCCACCTGGCCACAGGTCCAGAAAGTGGGTCCCAGCACCAAAGAAAGACCTTTAGGAAAATAGTGGGGGATCCAAAGTACTGGAACTCTTGCTACTGAGTTACAGGCTCCTCACCTCTCCTTCTCTGTTGCCCTTTGTGGTTTGGCCTATCTTATCATCGACTGATCCTGGAGCTGGAGCAAGGTACAAACTACCCTCACCCTGCTCTCAGTACCCCTCATTGGATTCAGAAATACAGGAGGGCTGGGGATGTAGTGCAGAAGTAAAGTGCTTGCCTAGCATGTGCAAGGCCCTGAGTTCTGTCCCCAGCACTGCAAAAATGAAACAGAACAAAAAGAGCCAGGGAACCTGTAAAGTGGTTCTCAGGGCCTGACACCAACTTCCAATCCCCATATAGCCCCTGAGTCCCCTCTGGGATCCCAGGGGATGGCAGGGCAGAATCTGAGTGAGGCTGAGGGTCTCTCTGGCTGTAGTCACCCAGGCTAGAAGGGATTCCCCCAGGTAAAGGGCAAAGAAAGGTCATGCAGACCCTGCTACCAGGAAGGACCTCCCCCCAATCCCCAGGCCATCTCCTATTCTAGGGTTCATGGGGGAAGTTTCCTTGTTGGCCCTCCGAGGCAAGGTGCCCTCACGGCCATGGTCCCCTGAGCTCATGTCCCCTCCTCTCCACAGACAGTACATCAAGGCCTGCAAGACAGGCAACATGGACCAGGCTCTGTCAGTGTGGTTCCTCCTGGGCTGGATTGGCGGAGACTCCTGCAACCTCATTGGTTCCTTCCTTGCTGACCAGCTGCCCCTACAGGTGAGTGCAGGGTGGGACAGCCAGGGGCAGCTAGGGCAGAGGCATTGGGATCAGGCAGCAGGAGAAGAGGCCCAGGCCTCAGAATCCTGACCCATCGGTCCATCCACTTCGGATCTGCTCCTGGAGTGCTGTGTGACAGTGGGGAAGTCACTGCCCCTCTCTGTGCTTCCAGTTTCCCATCTCCAGTCTGAGCACTTCCAACCCCTGGGGTCTTTTGCTTTTGAGGAGCTACAGCTCCAACTTAAGGTGTCAAGGTACAGGACCCTGGAGGCAGAAATGAGTTTTTCCTTGGGACCCTCTGATGTCATCATCCTCCCTTGGCCAGGCACAGCTGAGAATCACAGGAAGTACTATCTTCTGTAGTAGGACTGAGGTCCTGACTGGTAGAACCGGCCACAGATTCCTCGGCACCTCCTGGGGCTGGGCATTTGGCTGAGCCCTTTGCCTACATGGTTTCTCCCTCTGCCAGGCAGGAACCATGATCCCTCCTCCTAGGTGAGGAAACAGAGGCTCAGTGGTAACGCCGCAGGGCCAGTCCTGAGTCTGAGGCTCTTTTCTCCCGCAGAGCTACACAGCTGTGTACTATGTCCTGGCTGACCTGGTAATGCTGACACTCTACTTCCACTACAAGTTTAAGAAACGCCCCTCTCTGTGTGAGTACGGGGTGCTCTGGAGCAGACTCCCTCCTGGCAGCCTGGGGGGCCTGGAACTTGTGAGGAAGCAGGTTTCCCATTGCTGGGTGATAAGCCAGGCCTCAGAAAGGCCTTATCTAAAAGCCTGAGTTCATGGGTCAAGATAGTGACTGGAGGGCAGTGAGCACATCCGGCCCAGACCACAGGGAGTTCTGCTCGCTCTGCTCCCATTCAGCCAATGTGGCTCAGCTCCTCCCCTGTGTCTGGCTCTGGGCTTGGAGCTGGGAAAGGAGGACGAGTCCACAGACTGCCGCTGCCCTCCGGGATTCAGAAGGGGCAATATACAAGGTCAGCTCAAGGGTGAAGAAGACATGGGGAGGCCTTAGGGAAGGAATTGTGTCGTTGGCATTTCCTCTTCCGGACTCTGCTGTCCTCATTGTTTTACCTTTGCTACCCTAGGAGAAGGGTACTATTGACAGACTCATTCTACAGATGAGGAATTAAAGCTCAGAGAGGTTAAGATCACTTGTCCAAGGTCACACAGCTACTGGGGGTTATGGCTGGGATGCCAACCCCAGTCTCTCTGGTGCACGCAGATATGGGACTTTGGATTCTCTGTTGCCTCGTGTCTAGTGTCTGCCCCCATCAATTCCGTGCTCTTGTTCATCTCTGGGACCGTGTGTATCACACCACTGCTGAGCAGCACTGGCCCTGTGGCTGCCCCTAGGGAAGCCTTCCAGGGGCGGATGCTCCTGTCCGTGGAGCCCGGCAATAAGGTGAGGTGGGGGTAGGCTGGGTGTGGGTTAATGGGTGGGGGCTGGTTCTCCCCCACAGCTGCCCCCTGCAGGTCACATGGGTGTTTGGTGGAGAAGGATCACCCTTTCGGCCCCTGCAAGGCTCTGAGTACTCCCTCCTGTCCCTCCAGCCCTTTACAAAGCAGGAGATCATTGGCTTCGTTGTTGGTTCTGTGTCCAGTGTGCTGTACCTGCTCTCGAGGCTGCCACAGATCCGCACCAATGTGAGCCTGCTCAGGGGTGGGCCCGGTTGGAAGGAGAGTGACCCAGTGGCTCAGGCCTCTGGGTTAAGGAGCGGCATGGTACAGGAGTCTTTGTCCAGAAGGCCTGGCACCATCCTCACTGGTAGCTTGGCAAGCTAGTCCAACTCTCTGAGCCTCATTTTCTGCCTGTGGAAGAAAATGAGCCAGGAGATAGATCCCTACCACAGAGGGGTACCTGAGAGCTGTGTGTGTCCCAGGAGTCAGAGGTCAGAAGAGAAGGACCATCTCAGAGCTTAGAGGCAGGAGAGGAGGAAGGGAGGGGAGGGGAACAGGGATGGGGAGGCTTGCTGGGCGGTAGGAGTCTGTGGGGCTGGAGAGCAGAGCATTGTGGGGCCAGCAGGTATGTGCAGCCATGGTCTCTGTGGACCTGGGTAGGGGCTTGAGAGAAGAGGTCAGAATGAGATCAGAAGTGGTTAGAAGTGGTCTGGATGGGGCTGGTCTGCGTACCAGTTCAGAGTGTATACAGTGCAATGGACCCAGTGGACATGTGAGCAATAACAATCCAGAGTGACAGGAGTCCTCTTTCACCCCCAGTTTCTTCGGAAGTCAACCCAGGGAATCTCTTATTCACTGTTCGCGTTGGTAATGCTGGGGAATGCACTGTACGGGCTGAGTGTGCTGCTCAAAAACCCCGAGGTGGGCCAGAGTGAGGGCAGCTACATGCTGCACCACCTGCCCTGGCTCGTGGGCAGCCTGGGTGTGCTGCTGCTTGACACCATTGTATCCTTCAGTGTGCACAGGGCAGGTGGGGCAGGGTGGGCTGAGCAGCCTCTGCCTACACACAGCCCTGCATTCATTACCTGTCTAGCCATCCACCCGTCCCTACATTTGTCCATCTACCCACCATCCATCCATCTCTTCTCTCATCCATCCACCCACCTACTCACCTATCTAGCCTCCCATCCACCTATCTGTCAGTTCATGCATCCTCCCATCTGTCCATCCATTCAAAGAGTGCATAACCCCTGTGGGCCAGGCACCTGACCCGGCACTAGACCAATCAGTGAGCCAGAACAGAATTTCCCTGGCCTGGAGACACAGCTTGGTGGACAGTCCTACAGGACACATGGCTTATCCTTCCAGTGGCACCAAGTGCTGCAGGGAAAGACGAGAAGAGTGCATTACCATGGGATTGTCCTGGCCTAGAGGGTAAACAAAGGCTTCTGCAAGTGTCTTTTAAACTGTGGCCTGAGCAAGAAGAAGTTGGTCAGGCAAAGGCAAGGGAGAAAGTTCCAGGCACAGCTTGTGCAAAGGGCCTGAGGAATAGAAGAGTCCATCCAGGCTCTGGGAATGAAAGCTAGAACATAGAGTAGTCACTCTTGAGTTAAAGTCAGAAAATCCTGGGTTCAAATCCTGCCTCCTCCACTGCTTCCTAGCTGTGTTGACACAGCAACCTGTCACCCTCTCTGTGCTTTTATATCTTCATCTGAGTTAAACAGTTGCTGCCTCACCAGGATCCTGGGTAGTGATGTCAGATAATGTATCTGAAAGCTCTCCCCCTGTAACCCAGCACTCAGTGAGTGCTGAGGAAATGTTTGCTAAAGGGCTGCACAGGACATTATTTGGGTCTTGTGCAGGAGAAAGTAAACGTTGCCCTTGTTTCAACACTTCCTGATTCTGCAAGGGATATAATGAGAGAGGGGAGCTGTGCTGAAGGATGGAGGGAGGCAGGTGGCAGGGCAGGTCCTGGACCAGGCCCTGGGAGGCTGGAGAGGAATGGGGTGTGGCTGGGCTGGGGGACCAGGAGGGCACTCAGAGTGGAGGACCCAAGGTTGGGAGTCGTGGCTGGGCTCCCACCTGCAGGGGGGAAGCGGTGTGAGAGAGAGGGAAGAGGAGGCACGGCCCCATCCCCACCCAGGCAGGCCCAATTTCTGCTGCCTCTCGGCCTTAACGTGGGCCTCAGATCTCCATCCAGTTCCTGGTGTACAGGGACGTCATAGAAGCTGCCTCCCTGGAGCGCGAGCCCCTCCTGTCCAGCTGCGCAGGGCCAGAATGAGCCCAGGACTACGGAGACTTCCAGATTCCAAGCCCAGAAGGAGAGATGCGGGCAGTGACATTGCCCAGCTGCCCCACCCCTGGTGCTTCTGACCCCTCCAGATGGATTGACTCTCCCAGAAGTAAGACAGCCCCGGGGCTGGCCCGCCCAGCAAACACTTCCCGGTCAAAGGCAGCTGCTCTAACCTCGGAGACGCCCACCTACCTCATTCTGCCTGTGTAGGCCTGGGGGCCACGCCACCCAGGACTGTCTTGAGGACTGATATAATCTAGTAAACGTACCTTCCAGCGAGGCCTGTCCCTGCTGCTGGTCCTTGGGTGCCAAGGTCTGAGCTGTTCCAGAAACAGCGGTAGATGGGCGGGGGGGGGTGAGGGGTGAGGAGGGGAACCGTGTCTGCCTGTACCCCGGCCTGGCCTCCCAGCGTCCTTGGCTTCTTTCACCCACATCTCTGTGCCCTGTCTGTCACAGAAGGGCTGTTTGCAAAAAGCCATCCTGCAGGACAGCCAGGTCCTGGGACAGGGCTCACGGCAGTGGCCGTGGGCGATGGCAGTTTTTTGGGGAGGTTCCTCTGGCTGCAGACGAGGAAGAAGGCACTGGGCTCTGAGGCTCAGGCCCATCTAGCTTCCCCGCCCCATCTTCCTGTGCAGGGCTGGGAAGCCCATGTGTCCTGTGCCTGGGCTTCATCCCAATGGCCCCCTCTGCTGGGTGGAGTTGTAATGACCATTTTCGGATGGGAAAGCAGGCTTAGGGGACAAGGTGCCCAGTTAGGGGTGGCAGCGGTTTGGAACACATTAGTTCCTCCAGTCTCTGGGCCGGCCTGGGCTGCAGGAGAGGTACCCCGGGTCCTGGTCACTGCCTGCAATGGCTGGCACATGTTTCAGGTCCAGGGCTGAGATCTGGCCTGATGGTGGTGACCTGGGGCCAGGTAGCACCCTTTCTAGCCTGAGGACCTGTGGGGTCTGTGTGGCAGCATGAACCTCAAGTGCAGGCCTGAGCTGAAGCTGGGTGGGAGGAGAATGAGGTCACACAGCCCCTGGCCCCGGAAGCCCTGTCAGGTGAGGGTGCACAGTCCCTGCCTGTGGGAAGTGCTTGTTTGGGGGTGGGAACTCTTGCTATCAGACATGGCCCAGCTCACCAAGAGCTGTGTTCCCTGCCTCAGGAAGGCCTGGCTGATGGGGGAGACATGGCCCTCGCCCCGTGAGTGCCTGTTCTGTGGAGCAGATGTGGTCCCTTCCCTCAGGGAATGCCTGGTTTGTGTGGCTTATCCTGACCTTGAATCCTCAGCCTTGGAAGGCCCACAGAGGAGTCACACTGGCAAGGCTGGAGGAACCTGGTGGCCTCTCCCAGGGCGTCATGTTCATACCCTGGCTCTGATGCTTGGTCAGGGAAGACCTAGTGACATACCCAGTTGACAGGAGTGGGGGGGGGCACAGACTTCGAGGTCCTACACCTGAGCTCCAAGCATGCCCAGCCACTGGCAAGCCCCGTGACTTGGGCACCTGTCCCCAGCCTCAGTCCCTTCAACCCATGAGACCAACAATAATGGCATCAGCCTCAGGACATAGTTGTTTTTTTTTAAGTCACAGACAATTTTTATCATTCTCTGATTAGATAAGGAGAAAAAAAATGAACTCTTGGGTAGCAGAAAGAAGCAAGTGTCTTTGAGAGTGTGGCATTTGAGAAAGGTACTCAGTTGCCGTGCATTTCCATTGTTTTTCCATGGCAGAACATATGGCAGAGACTTGGGAACTGGCATGCCTGAAGCCAGGTTGCTCTTATGTTCCGTAACTATGTTGCTAGCAGGACTGTTGTTGCCACAGAAGCTGGCTGTGCCCCAGACAAATGGGGTGCTAGTTTGTTCCCACAAATCTTTGCCCCAATCTTCATCGCAAGGGGGACATTGCCACGTGCTCTCAGCCGGTGTCTTGTCCAAGGTTTCTGGTCTGGTTGACCACGTTCTGCTCAATGCAACTGTTGTCATCACAGCTTGAGATATGGTGACTGATTTTGGCCCAAGGAACCTGGTGATGAGCATCAAGGGACAAATAGCCAATTTGTTTGCAACATCAGGATGATTCTTTGTGCATTGATAAGATGATAAGGAACCCTGCAGGCCCTGATCTGGTGGGTTTTATCACAGGGACACTGTAATAGCTTTTCAAGGTCCAAGGAGTCAATGTAAGTGTCTTCCATACTGAAAATGAAGGAGCTGATTTCAAGTGCTTGCAGGTGGATTGTTCTGGAGAAGCCAAGCCGGACTCAGGGCCCTTTCCTACCTCAGCAGTGCCACACTTGCCCCACGGCCACTTTGCCCCATCAGGACATAGTTGTTTTTTGTTTTTGTTTTTGTACCAAGGATCGAACTCGGGACCTTGCGCTTGCAAGGCAGGCGGCAGAACCACTGAGCTAAACCCCTGGGCATACCAGGACACAGTTTTGATGTTGAATTGAGGTGTGCTTGTGGCACCTGGGACGGGGAGGTAGACACACGATGGCTCTGTTAGCTTATCCTGAGGGAACTGGGACAGTCACCCCCAAAAGTCACTGCTACAGCAGGCCACATTTTAACTTCTGAGTGAGGTGCCACTTATGAACCAGCAGCCCACAGACACAAGGACCTGCCCCTCCTGGCCCAGGGGTAGGCTGGTGACTTCCCCAGGGAGCCGAAAGGATGGGCCCAGCGGTCCAGTCCTCTGAACTTGAGCCCAGGCCCCACTGGTTATTTACTGCACCAGGGATGTCCTGAAGTCACAGCTGAGACAACATGACCTTTAGATCTCCCCTTCTGTAGGAAGGCAAAAATCCTCAGCTCACCCCTCAGTCCATCCCTTTTTCTGTCTGACTTTTGACTTTATTATAGTCAAATGGCTACCAGGATGCAGCCAGGTACTGAGCACTATTGAAAAAAGCATTAAACTGGGGCCGGGGATTTAGCTCAGTGGTGCCGCTGCCTGCCTCGCAAGGGCAAGGGCCAGAGTTCGATCCCCGGTACCCCCCAAAAAGAAAGAAAAAGCATTAAACAGAGTGTTGTGGCTGGCGTTATCTTTCCCTGTGGCTTAATTCAGCTCAGGACTACTTATCTAGTCTTCCAGCCCCATGACAACCCTGAGGACAGTCACTTCCACTGTGTCCCCTTCCCCAGCCCTACTACTGTGGACAGAGACAGTCTGCCCTGTTTGCCATGTATCCCCAGTATATAATAGGTGCTCAATACATGCCTGAGACATTGTCCCTCGGGCTCTTGTTCCAGTGCTAGCTACTTGCGGCCATGTGGCACCCTTTCCAACCCGAAGACCTGGGGCTCCTTGTGCAGCATGAACACCAAGTGCAGGTCTGACTGGAGCCAAACTGGAGTGCAGGTGACAGGCATGTCACCAGCAAGCACAGAACTACTGAGCTGTACATGTTACATGGTTGAAGTGCATGGTATATGAATTATACTCCGTAAAGCACTTTGAGAAACAAGTTAGCTGTTAAGTACGGTAATATCTCAGCTCATGAATGCTTCTGTTTGCGAACAATTCAGTTCAGAAACAGAAACGTTTGCCAAAACTTTGCTTCCGTTCTTGAACTCCGCATCGGGTGATGAACATGACCATGGCCATCTTTTCTGCAGGAGTGAGAATGCAGACACCTTTCCCAGCATTGTGGAACAGATTATGCTCGTGACCCGAGGCACAGTGGGAAGGCAAGGGTGATGAGACTATAATTAGAGCTTGGGTTTCTACTCATATCTAGTCCAAAGTAATGGGAACGCCAGCTGGTGAAGGAATTCTGCAACCAGTCAGCTCCTAGGGAAGTCGAGGTTTCATTCACTGGAGGCTTAAAGGGTTAAATAGTGTAAGGATTTGTTTTCTAAGTCTGTCCACCTTACAGAGCATCTATGGAACACCTATTCCAAATTGTAGTTTCTTTTTTTTTTTGTACCGGGGATTGAACTCAGGACCTTGTGCTTTCGAGGCAGGTGGCAGAACCACTGAGCTAAATCCCCGGCCCTTCCAAAGTGGAGTTTCACAAGAGAGGTAGAGACAGTGACGTCAAAGTGTGTATCTACATGAGCAGAAAATAAGAATAGAAAATTCAGCCAAGCATGGCAGTCCATGGTTGTAATTCCATCACTCGGGAGGCTGAGGCAGAAGAATCATCTTCAATTTGAGGCCAACCTGGGCTACATAGTGAGTTCAAAGCCAGTCTGAACTATATACAGCAAGACACTGTCTCAAAAAAACAAAAAAAACTTAAAAAATGAAATCTATTTCACAAGCTTAATTTCTACATGAGTTTATATGAAAAAATGTTTATCTTCTAAAAAATTTGTAAAAGGTAAATGGAATATAAGTAGGGGAGATACAAATTATAACCAAACTATAAAACAGGAAAAAATAGCACCAGGTAGTTTGTCCTAAAGAACTATCTATTTAAATCAGGTACGGTGGCACACACCTGTGATCCCAGCATTGGGAGGCAGAGGCAGGAGGAACATTGAGTTTGAGGCCAGCTTGGGCTACATAGTGAGTTCAAGCCCAGCCTGAACTACATAGTGAGACCCTGTCTCAGAAAACAACCGCAAAAACCCACACAACTATCTGTTTAATAGATCATCTGCTTCCTAAAGGGTCACAAAGCGAGTTGCAAAATCTGAAACAAGGCCAGACACAGTGGCACATCCTTGTAGTCCTAGTTACTTAGGACACTGAGGCAGGAGGATCAACTGAGCCCAAGAATTTGATGTGAACCTAGCAACATAGTGAGATCCCATCTTAAAAAAGCCCAAAACAAAAAACTGCAACAAAAGTTCTCACCCAAAATACTTGTAGCTATGTGGGTTAGTTTTGAAGGAAATAACTACACCACAACATGTGATTAAGTAGTCTAGTTTCCTGAATAGGTTTTATGAATCTTAAATTACATGGAGAAAAAATAAAGTGAGATGTTTTGACTTCAACTTATGTAACGTTTAGTTTATAATATTTATACATTTTATAATATTGTTAGGAATGAAGCATATTTACTGGGTTTCCAGGCTGCTGTGGAGGCTGGGGAAGTAGCTGAGGGGAACAGCATGTACTTAGAATGCACAGGCCCTGGGTTCGATCCCTAGCACCAAAACACAACCGCCACCGCCACCAAGACCAAACCATCTCAGAGAGAGCAGGAGAAAGTGGCACCAGCTCTTGGAATTCAGACGAGCACCAGGAGCCTGCTGGGCATGGACAGCAGCTGGGGTTGGTGAGGCAGGCAGATCCAGGTGGTGGGGCTGTGATCCTGGCTCCCCACCTATGATCTGATGGGGCGGGGTTCCACCTGCTGCTTTGACTTGTGAGGGTTCGGGCCAGCTTGGGGCCCAGTGACCAGCCAGTCCTTAGTCTCTTTAGGGCTCACTGATTACCAGTGGGCACCCAGGGTGCCACACACTAAGCAGGCAACACAGGAAGCAATGACAGGCTGCAAGTTGATCACTGAAGGGAAGGAAACCGAGAGGCAGTGGTGTCTGGAAGGGTAGGAACCAAGGTGCTCCAGGCAGCAGTTCTGCCAAGGACCAGGTCTCTCAGGAGAGGCCATCTGCACTGGTCTGGCGGGGCCCTGCAGGGAATGAGGGACCACCAAAGGGGCATCACATGGAGGATGCATGGAGGTGAGGTGGCACCAAAAGAGAAGAGCAGCACCATCCTCTGAGGGCCTGCGCTCTTGGAGGTGACCAGTTGCTTAAGGGATGAGCTGAACGAACAGGAAAATCTTTTTTTTTTTGGTACCAGGGATCAAACTCAGGTCCTTGCGCTTGCGCAGCAGGCGGTGAAACCACTGAGCTAAATCCCCGGCCCTAACAGGAAAATCTTGGAGACAGGGAACCCAGGGCCACAGAACCTCCCCTGCAGGAAGGGCTGCAGAGGGAGATTTGGCAGTGGCGAGACCAGCTCCCCCAGACTATCCGCCTGAGCCCTCCCCAGTCCGGAAACACTGCATCCACAGCCCCAGGGTGCCAGACAGGTCTGTGCAAGCTCGGAATGAAAGGCGGGCTCCTGATCCAGGGCCCCTGCCACCACACTCTCCCCTTGGCTGCCTCCTGTCGTTTACCGACACCAGGGGCACCTCCAGGGGGCACCTGGTGAGCCCGTGGGGTAGGGGACATGGCCTACTGCTGCCAAACCCCAGCAGCCCTGTCACCTGCAGCCCACAGAGCCAGAGGGCTATCGCCACCCCTCACCCCAGCTGCCTTACACCATTTCCTCAGCCTCTCTTGGCTCCTGTGTCCTTCCAGCTTCCACAAGGGAGCAGGGACAGGAGTGGCCAGGAGGTGGCAGAAGCCTACAAGGTGGCCCTGAGCCAGGTTACAAGCTCTTGTCTTTGGCCATTTGATCCCTGCTGGCCCTAAGAAAGCCTAGGTCAGGGGCCACTGTCCCCATCTCACTGGCTTGACTCAGCATCATAAGACTAGAAGTGATGTCCCTGTGAAGACACCAGTGGGGAGAGCAAGACCAGGCCTGTCTTAGGTCACAACTTCTGGGATTCAAGTTTTTTCTGGTCACATGATATCACACCTATACACAAAAAACCTCATTTATTCTGTGCCCTGTGTATGCCAAGTACTGTGGTAATACAAGCCTATGAGGCTGTAGCATCCCTCCCAGGTCCTGGAAGGAAATGGCTCCATACGTTTGCCTCACCCATAGCCCATACTGCAGTGTCAGAGCCCAGGCCTGCCTCTCTCCAGCGTCCCGTCTTTTCCACCAGTAGTTTTGGGATCCATCATCTTAGTTATTTTTAAAATTTATTTTTATTTTTAACTTGTGGCAAGAGAAGCTAAACCCCCGGGGTACTAAAAGGAACTCTGAGTGGGAGGTTTCTCCTGTTGTTTGAGTTTTGCGGTGCTGGGATGGAACTGGGGCTTGGTGTGTGCTGGGCAAGCCCTCTACTGTGGAGCCCCCCCCAGCCCACCCCCAGGCCCATCCCCTTTCTCTCCCATGCTACTCCACATTCCATGAGGTGTTGCTTCAGACTGAGGGGAAGCCAGGACCAGGAGCTGGGGACCAGCGTTAATTGCACCCCAGTTTTTTTATTTATGGCCTGCAAGCCCAGGAAGGCAGAGGGGAAGGCTGGGAAGGGTGTGGCAGGCAGAGACCTGCTCTGGGCCATCTCTGTGGCACTGCAGGGCCTTAGGCCTGTCTGACTGCCACAGCTGGTTTCCACCCTGCAGTGAAGGGCACATGGCCAGATGCTACAAGCACCCAGTGGGGGTTGATGGCTCCCTCACCCTTGCTGTGGTCTTGCGGTTACTTTTTGGCCAAGATCAAGTGTAGCATGTTTTTATCAGTTTAATAGCTGAGGACAGTATGTCACAGGGACTTCTGGAGTTGAGAGGAGACAAGCTTGTTCCACCCACCGCACACCCCACCTAGAATTACAGTACTTTCTGCAATGGTGGAGCCCTCGGGAAATTTAGAAACAAGGAACTGAGGGAAGAGGGCAGAGGGTAGGGAGGGCCAGGGAGCTTCCTTCCACCTCACGTGCACCAGGTGCTGCCACATGGCCAGCCCTTCCTGGGGTGGGCAAGGGAAGCGGCCCACTGTGATGCCTGTCCCTCCTGGCTCCCCACTTGTCTTCGGTCTCCCCCCTGGAGGCCCCCAGCCTCATCTGGCTGAGGCCATGGATGCATGCTGAGGTCAGCAAGAGAGAACACAAGGCCAGCACTGTGTCCCAGTTTCTTTTTATTTTTTTTTTGTTCTTTTTTTCATTTTTTTTTAAGTATGGAGGCTCAAGTATAAGATGTAGATTTATTTTTTTAAGCTTTACAAAAAAACAAAATAAAACAAAAACTCCTTTTGCATTCCATAAAAATTGACAGAAAAGCACCTGGCCAGAAGAGCAGGGCGCCACCCCTCCCGGGCTGCGCAGCTGCAGGGCCGGGCGGGTCTGGTCTGCCCAGGCAGATGCAGGGCCATCTCTCCCTCCAGAGCTGCCCATCCCGACCCGACCCCCACCCCGACCCCCACCCCGACCCCAACCCCAACCCCAAGCAACTCCCAAACACACATGGAATCAGTTTTTCTTCTATCTTTCACACACCACAGTTATTTCATAAAATTTTTTTGTTTTACATTTTTTACACCAATGTAACAAAAAGGTGGGAGGGAGGGGTGGGTGGCTGACGGACAGTGTATTTTATGCCTCTAAATGGAGGGGAGGGGAGGGAGATGGGGCCCAGGTGAACAAAAAAACACACAGTTTCTATGGAAATATCGAGAGTTTCGATAGCAAAACGTGGTGGGAAGCAGGCCTCAGAGCCAGACAGGGTGGTTATTGGGCTTTATTCTCAGGGAGAGATGGCGCTGTGCAGTGGGTGGGAGGTCAGTGATGCAAGTTGTTATGTGACCTGTCAGGGAGGGCAGGGGCAAGGATGAGGGAGCAGAAAATGAGTTTTCTAAGAAAGGAACCTAATGAGGGCATGGCGTGGCCAGTTAGCACAAAGCAGAGGTTTAACATTGCTGCTTTCTCTTCAAAGCCTCCACCAAGTCATTCTTAAGAGCTTCTTGTTTTGATTTGTCTGCGAAAGTCTGCACAGACCTGCAAAGGAGGAAAGGAGGAGTTACACGTGGATGGAACAGGAAGAGGCACAGCTCTGAGGGCCAGGCCAAGGCTCTGGGCCTGCTCCGGACCTGCACCTGCACCCTCAGCACCCCACTAGGCTTCCTGGGGAGGCACCGCCCACTGACGGATATCAGCTCAGCCCCAGGCTGTGGGTGACCTGGTTCTAGCAAGTAGAACTTAGGGCCACTGCTTTGGGCACAAGCGCCCAGAGCCATGGGAACCAGAAGGTGGCCTCTGGGCTTTCGAGCACAATGCAGTCACAACCCTTAGCTGCAGACCTCCTGCCCCAGGCTTCCCGCTGGGGGCTTGGGTGAGGGGCAGAGGGCACCAGCTCCTCCTCTAGGGTACAGCAGGGCCCCACCCGGCGAGCCGTCAGGAGCAGTGTCTCTGCAGTCTGAGCTCTGGGGATTACAGCCAAGGCAGCACAGGAAGGGCAGGTGCTTTTAGGCTTCTTCTATAAGGCGCTACTGGCTGTGAACTTGGCCCAGACTCAGGGACTCCCTCAGCCAGGATAGTGGAAAGCAGCACAGGAATGAGGTGAGCGCCTGCACCCCCTGCTATTCAATCCTGGAAACACCCTTTAAGAAACAGAGAAGCCCCTGGAAATTCCCAGAAGGATCGGTGGGAGAGGGAGGGCAAGCTGCACGGAGGTCTCAAGTTTGAAAAATAAGTGGGAAGGGAGCGTCAGAAAACAAATGGCCAAGTGCTGGACAGTGGGAAAATAAAAGGAAGCAGGCCCAGAAGAGGCAATGGCATCCCAACTCAAAAGTCTGGCTACTGAATCCTAGAAAAATCACAGAAGAGTAAGAGGTGGCACAGACAGGACTCTGAAGCAATCTGTACACAAACGAAAACAGCCCCACCAGAAAGGCCTCCACTGTGGTCAGTGCTGCTGAAATGCACATCTCTGTGTATTTGCCCCAGACCGGCCTGGGGTCTGCAGCAGGGAAGGCAAGGGCAGAACTCCAAATCCCAGCTGACCCACAGAGTTCACAATGGGCAGCCAACAGCACCATCGGAAGGACACGGTGGCTCAGCAGTACTATAGGGGCTTCCAGCCTGGCAGGGCCAGTTCTTCTGGGAAGGAGGAACCAAGAATTCCATGTAGAGCTATGTCCAGCTGACCCCACCCTGGAAAGGTGACTGTTCCAGAGTCAGGATCAGGCTAGAGTTGGGGATGCCAGACTTGGTTAGCCACAGGTCTAAGGAGCAGAGGCCTCACTCACGGGCAGAGCTTGGGAAAGTCTTGCTCAGGGACCGAAAACCAGTACCTGGAGGCTGTGCTTTCAGGAGGTGTCCTAGCAGGCAGGCCCCCACCCCCACCCACCAGGGATCCTACACCACAATGACTCCAGTGGGCAGCTGGGGAATGCTGCTGTCACGGTGCACCTTAAAAGGAGTTTTCTCCATGACATGATGGGAAGCCTGAGTCTTGTTCTGCATCTCAAGCTGGTGGCTGCCTTGGACTGGGAACCAGCATATACACTCACCAGCCTATTGCAGAAGCCACACAGCCTCAGAGCACAGCTCTGCCTGGTCACACACACACACGCCTGACCCCAGCCCACTGAAGTTCCCTGAGCCTCTTCTGGGTTGGGCAGACCTGCCAGGTTTCCAAATGCTTGTTTTTCAAAGCCGCTTCCCGCTCCTACCCCCAGGGATGCTGACTGTCTTGGTACATCTGCACTTGTCCAAAGCTCAAGTCATGATTCTTGGCCATTGTCAACAAGCACGACTGTTTGCCTCTCCCTGAGCAGAGCTGGCAGAAGAGGAATGTTCAGTGCAGCTCATTAGGGTGACAGCCACATTTGGCTGGAATGGCTCTAGCAACAGCCTGGAGGCACAATGGGTTGGCTGGGGGAATCAGTCTCACACCGTGCCCCATCCCCAGGCTCAGGGGGAGACTACCTTCCCAGGTCAGCTGGTCCCCGTTCCACTGGGACAGGGCTTCCTGGGCTTCGGGGATCCCTGCTGGAGAATATGGGAAGGGCTGGCTATGAATCCTCCACACCCAGAGAGGCTGCCCCAAGGAAGGAGGATAGGCAGAGGGTGAAGGGCAGAGGGCAGAGGGCAGTGGGCAGGGCCCAGCCCCTGTTGCACAGGGAGCTGACAAGTGCACACTAGCGGTCTCTGCTGGGCAGCAATGTTAGTTCCCAGGGCTGGGCTTCTACAGGAGCAAAAGCCCAAACCACATGTCTTCACCAAGCCTAGCCTGTGCCCAGAGTGCAAAGCATACACACCACACACGTGATACATGTCTGCGTTACATGGGGCCGAGGCTACATGTTCATGTGGCTGCTCACCAGCCAAGAACAGACACAGGGTTAGTGGTGGTATAAATGGCCTCGCAGCAGCCACCGGACCTGCAGGGTCTCGGCGGGTTGGTAAGTCCTGTTTAGTGCGCATCTCAGGCCTCTCGAGCAGGGTACCTGGGCCAGCTTAGTTATCAGGCTGGATGTAGACCTGGCGCTGGGTCAGCACTTGAGAAAGCTCCCTCTGCAACTGCTTAAACTTGTGGTTGTCGGGGATAGCATCAAGAGATCTGAGAGTGTTCAGAGAGGGTGAAGCCAGAGGGAGAGAGCAACAGCAGTGAGAACATGGGGCTGGCAGCTAGGGGACAGGCAGGGACATATGGGGGAGTCAACATGGCCACTGTAGGGCCTCTGGTGCAGGTCAAGGCTGGCAGTGGTGCCAGGTTTCAGGGGCTCATAGCCATCACCCTGCAGGTCCACGGGGGAAGCCTCTTTATAAAACTGTATAGAAGGTGACTCAGATCGGTCTTCTGGACAAATACACAAGCTGGGGCAGCTGCAGGGTCTTGCACTCCTCTCCTCTGGCTCAGCCAAGAGATCCAGGCATTGAATGAGCTCGAGGGCTGGCCACCAGGGGCTCAGCAGGGCCCGAAGACTCACAGTGGAGCTGGGCTGCAGAATTTTTCACAGGCATCACCAGTCCACCTGACCTCATGCCCTGCCTGATTGGTGAGGGCCATTGAGGAGTATGTGGAAGGTCTCCTTGAGGACTCAGGTGACAGCTTAGAGGAGAGCCTGGCCTCTGGACTCCAAGACCAGTGCTTGTTCCTTAGCTACCACCTGCTGAGACCCCTGTGAACTCTCAAGGCCCCAGAGATCCTTGGCTTTCTGCTCAGCCTGACCCAGGACCTGAAGTGGGTGAGAGGGACAGCTCAGGACCCTGACTACAGCCATAAGACACAGAGCGGCCTGCATCCTCTGCAGCAGTCGGTAGGCCACACTGAGCTGCCCCGAAGCCTGGGCTGGCCATAGAGGCTGGCCCAGCAGCGGGGATTCTCTCTGGAATCTTGGGGATGGTGGGGCTCCTCAGGCCCCAGTGCCAAGGGAGCCAGGCAGATTCTCTACATGGGCCCAACGAGCTGGAGGGGCAAACTGTAAGGATAAGGGCACCAAAGGCTGAGAAGGTGAAAGAGGCAGGAACCCAAAGCTATGGAGAGTGTGAACTACAGGAGGCAATGTATCTTTCAATCCCAGAGTAGGGGTACTTTGGCTCCATTTTTAAATTTTTTGGTACTGGGAATTGAACTCAGGACCTTGTGCTTGCGAGGCAGGCGTGCTGCCACTGAGCGAAATTCCCGGTTCCTTTGGCTCCATTTTATAAATGAGGAAGCCAAGGCCCAAGGCCACATAGCTATTAACTAGCAAAGCCAGGCGTCAAACCTGTGGTTTTGGTTCCACAGCTTCTGACTTTTGGTAATTACCTCAGCCCGTTGACGATGTCCTTTGTTTTTCCAAAGTAGATCTCATTCAGCGTACTTCTGATTTTATTTTCCATGTCCTAGGAAGGGAGGGCGGTCAGCCAGGATGGCAGTAAGGAATCACAGGGCCACTCCATACCCTGCAGTCCCTGCTGCACCCACAGGGGGAGACATGCAGCTACAGCACTGCTCCTTGAGTGAGCTCCCAGCTGCCAAGACGCCACCTCTCATTTGTGCTCTGAGTCTTTCCTGTCCTTAGGCCTTAGGCAAGGAGGAAGCCAACACCTAGGGACTGGCGGCCAACTCTGACCATTATTGGGAGCTGGTTTAAACCACATCTCCACCCCTTGGCCTGGCCACCAATTTTGTGAACAATTCCTGTGAAACCAGAGTACTTCCCCTCTTCCAAACAATGTGGTGACAGGCAAGGCGGAGGCAGCCTCAACTGAAGCTGCTCCAAGGCCACCCTGTTCCAGGGATCTGCTTCCTTCCTGAGCCTAGGTCTCTTGTTCACACCCGGTGGACTGGGGGAGACAGGACTTATCACCTCCTAGAGCCAAGGGCTGAGCACAACCCTGTGGGAGCTCGCTGGGTGGGGTGGTGCCCAGAGTGGAGCCTTGTGTGTGAATCAGGTGAATCAGAAGGCTCAGAGGCCGAGGCAGGCAGAGCTGAGCAGGCTGGCACCTGCATCCTGTGCTGCGCTGGCACAGAAATGAACCACAGCCCTGGGACCCAACCACTCACCTCTACCAGGCGCCCGATATTGGCTATGTGTGGGGAGCAGTCACTCACAGTTTCATCTTTTTCCATCTGCAAATGACAAAAAAGCATGGTTCCAAGTGAGAGGAAGCACTGCTGCTGGAGAATGCACCCTGCTGACCTCCAAGGTTTACAAACAGCCCAGGGTTGTGCCGTGGGTGGCTCTGTGGAACCAGCTGCAGTTACAAAGCCACTTTTGCCGCACAAAAATGAAATTTCAGACCACAAACAGCCCAGCCAACAGAAGCCCCGAGAGCCTATTTCCAGGGGAATTTTCTGCTGTGGCCATGGGAGGGACAGACACCCAACCACCCCGCCCCCGGCCACAGAGGTATAGTAGAAAGGCCACTCTAGCCAGGTACTGGCTTACCCAGGGCCACCTGGAGAGGACTCGCTCACTCACTCTACCTTCACACCACTGCTGGCAGGTGTGGGTCCAGGCTGCCTGCCCAGGCAGGGGCCAGGGTCTCAGGCGAAGCCTCCTGGACCACAACACCGTCACACCTCGACACTGTTGGCTGAACCCAACCCTGACCTTGCCAGAAGGGCCTGACAGCACTGGATGACAGTGGGGAGCCAGTACCCCAGTCTCCAGGATCTTTCTCCTAAGCCAGGCAGTCAGCTCCACCCCCACAATCAGCACACTGAGTCCCGACAAGAAAGCAGGCGGAGAAGGAACTTCTAGGCCATGCCTGACCTGAGCTCCTGGTTACGGATAGTGGGTTTCCCCTATTATTTTCCCTGTTACTTCTCTGACAAGATTATAACTTTTTTTTGGTACCGGGGATCGAACTCGGGTCCTTGCACTTTCGAGGCAGATGGTGGAACCACTGAGCTAAATCCCCGGCCCAAGATTATAACTTTTAATTTTGGGTTGTACTGGGGACTGAACCCAGGGCCCTGCTCTACCACTGAGCTACATACCAGCCCTTTTTAAATTTTGAGACAGGGTCATGCTAAGCTGCCCAGGCTGGGCTCAAACTCACCATCCTCCTGCCTCAGCCTCCCAGAGGGCTGGGATTATGGGCATGTGCCACTACACCCATGTGATTATAGCTTTTTGAGGAAAAGATCCCGATGTCTCACAGGGTGCCAGGCAGAGTACAGATCATGTAAGTGTTCAACATCACTAAACTGACTATAAGAGCTTACTGCTGAAATAAATGGAATCTGGAATATGAAACAGGGAGAGCTGGGCATGGTGGACTGCCACAAGTTCGAGGCCAGCCTGAGCTACATAGTGAGCTCAAGGTTGCCCTGAACTGCACTGTGAGACCGTGTCTCAAGACACACAACAGAGAGAGAGAGAGAGAGAGAGAGAGAGAGAGAGAGAGAGAGAGAGAGAG